AGCTGCCACAAAGTCCCTTCTTTATGCCTCCTTTGCATTTTAACATGGAACCAAACAACAGCAGCATCATTCAACGAGGTGACAAAGTCCGAACACCCTCAAATGAGACCACATCCCAGTGTCTTCAAACAAAATACAAAGTCCCAATGTCCTCAAATGAGACATTAATAAAATCCCCATGCCTTCAAATGAGTATGTACTTCCAAATTAACAGTGTCTTAGCTTGTGACCGTTGCTAGAATTGGTCAAATTTGTTGTCATCAATTAAAAAAAGTTTCAACCATAACATGTGATCAAGTTGTCCACTTTTGTGTCGAAATTGGCTGCAAACTGATTCGGCGGAGATGGCTGCCATTTTGTTTTTACGTGGCTTAGTGTATTGTGCTCTTATTACCACTAAATGGCACAAAAAAGTGTCCACGTACAAGGACAACGTTTCTAAGTTAAGTAGAATGAAGTATAAGGTCAAGTAAACCCATAATGAGATGTAACTCATTTAAGGACACAGGGTCTCAGGAGGTTAAACAATAACAATGGCAAAACATGACAATCATATCTGTTATATGGCGACTGATCTTGTCCTCTGTTCAGAGGGTAAGGAGCTCCCAAATGTCATTATTTTCACAATCTGTGGACATTTACGGCCACTGTTCTTCTTTGAGTTAGCTGCTAACTGCTAACAGCTACTTTTTAAATCTCTGCATTGGGTCGCACGCATTGTCCAAATGTCACATCCGACCCGTCTGACTCATGGTCCCGTCTTGCTAGCTGCCCTGAACAGGCAGTATAAAAGAGGCTAGAGTTATAATATATTACATTTTCAAAAATCATAAATAATTTTTTGCTGACCACTGTGTTGTTTTTGTAAACTAACTCTTTGTTATCATTTCTTCCAACTGGATCTCAGTGCTACGTAACGTTAGGTCTGCAAGGTCCTTGATTGCAGATCTGGGGAACCAAGTTTCGACTTGTTGGGAATAGAAAGCATTAATTATAGTTGACTCAGTAAGTGAAATTATTTGTGTCACACTCTTTAAATAGCACACTTTTTAATCTTTGGGCTTGGGGGAAGGTGGGGGAAGGTGGGGGAAGGTCTTTTCAAGTCAAAAGGCTACAGCCCAAGTTCAGTCATGATTCACTGGTGTTACAGTCTAAATCCAGTTGTGATCCTTTTTTAAATTTTGTCAAGTCTAAAGTCATCACATTTGTAACTTGAGTCTGACTTGAGTCCAAGTCATGTGACTCGAGGCCACACCTCTGGTGATAAAAAATTTAACTATTTTAATTATTTTATGGAAATCAACATATTCTCTCTCTGACCTCATCACATATTGACATTTTGTAATGGACTTTCCGCGTCTCCATAGGACGTGCATGATACCTTGGCTGCGTTGGTTGTTGATGTGCTGGGACACCATGTTAAGTTCTCTTCTGTCAAAACACACTTCTGTTTTCACAGGAAATTTAACAATGACATACAGTCTCTTTCAAAATAAACACACTACATCAGTACAACACTGTGATTTGATGTTACAGCAACAAAAATACGTGGTTAGGTTTAGGAAAAAACAACAGGGTTTGGCTTTATAATCTTAAGGGATGTGAACACCGCTCTCTAGGGTGAAAGTTGATGTTTGTTGGACTCATCCACCACCGTTCTACTCTGACTTTCACCACCTCAACTGTCATCCTTGTCCTGCTGCAGTTCCCCCTGATGCAGCTGGGCGCCATTAAACTGTAACAGCAATCAGTTGTGTATCATGCCAACATTAAAGGATGCCTTTTTTCGTCAGTGTCTGACGCCACAAGTCACTGCCCAAGCTCCAGATTTCGACGACTTCGGAGTGAGACCGTTCTCTGGAAATACGCTATGCCAAAAGAAGCCATTTCTACACGGTGAAAAGATTCAAAGTGACAAAATGAATGTTATATAATGTAATGTTGTATAATATAACTGGAATATGATGTTGTATAATCTACACGTAAACTTTTTGCCAAAAAGAATAAATCCAAAAATAACCCCTTTGTAATCATTTGTAATTAAATCACATGTAACGACACCAATCAGCCAAAACATTAAAACCACTGGTGGGTGAAGTGAATAACATTGATCATCTTGTTACAGTGCAATGTTCTGCTGAGAGACCTTGAGTTCTGGCATTCATGTGGATACTACTTGACATGCTCCACCCACCTGAACACCATTGCAGACAAAATAAACCCCCTCATGGCAACGGCACTTGCCAATGGCAGTGGCCCCCCAGCAGGACAATGCACCATGCCACATCACAAAAACTGCTCAGGCATGACCTGAGGAATGGGGCAAAGAGCTCAAGGCATCAACTTGACCTCCACATACCCCAGATCCCAACCTGATTGAACCTTTGAGGAGACGTGCTGTTACCCCAGAGTTACCCTGATCCACCGTGGGTGCTTCTTGGACTGGACTTGGCTCTGACCTGTTAAGGCATGGACAAAGGACCTCTGGAGGGTGTCTATTGGTGCCTGGCATCAGGGCGTTACCTTGAAATCTGTTGAGTCTTGTGGGTTGTGGAGTACCAGCATGCCCCACAGATGTTTGATCAGATTGGGATCCAAGGAATTGGAGGCATAAACATAAATATTTAAAAAAAAAAAAAAAAAAAAAAAGAACTTTAAATGTAGAAAATGTGTACAACTAACTAATATATAAATCTGTGTAGTATTTTTTTTTAACAAAGGAGAAGTTATTAGGTTGTATTTTGTCATTACCACCATGATTTGTCTTTACCTCTACAACACATGAAGTGGTGGTGATGACATTTCTCTATTTTTAGCTAACTGCGGGCTACTGGTCAAACTTACAAACATCACTTCAGAGTTAACTAGCAATGTTCTCAGGTTCTACAAAAATATGAAGTAACTGCACTAAAAATCAAAAATATTAGCAAACTATAGCATGTTTAGCAATGACTTGTAATGAACATACTCTATTGTCAGTAAGTATAAATGACAAAATTTCATACATTTCTGGTGATCAAAGTATCTGTCTTCCCCGTGAACAGGCATGTCCTCCAGTGTCACAACACATTGATGTAGGTACCAAAGTAACAAACTCTGAAAATAAAAAAAATCCCTCTGTCCATGGCCTTGAACAGGCAGTATAAAAGAGGCTAGAGTTATAATATATTACATTTTCAAAAATCATAAATAATTTTTTGCTGACCACTGTGTTGTTTTTGTAAACTAACTCTTTGTTATCATTTCTTCCAACTGGATCTCAGTGCTACGTAACGTTAGGTCTGCAAGGTCCTTGATTGCAGATCTGGGGAACCAAGTTTCGACTTGTTGGGAATAGAAAGCATTAATTATAGTTGGCTCAGTAAGTGAAATTATTTGTGTCACACTCTTTAAATAGCACACTTTTTAATCTTTGGGCTTGGGGGAAGGTGGGGGAAGGTGGGGGAAGGTCTTTTCAAGTCAAAAGGCTACAGCCCAAGTTCAGTCATGATTCACTGGTGTTACAGTCTAAATCCAGTTGTGATCCTTTTTTAAATTTTGTCAAGTCTAAAGTCATCACATTTGTAACTTGAGTCTGACTTGAGTCCAAGTCATGTGACTCGAGGCCACACCTCTGGTGATAAAAAATTTAACTATTTTAATTATTTTATGGAAATCAACATATTCTCTCTCTGACCTCATCACATATTGACATTTTGTAATGGACTTTCCACATCTCCATAGGACGTGCATGATACCCTGGCTGCGTTGGTTGTTGATGTGCTGGGACACCATGTTAAGTTCTCGGGCAGTCATTTCCTGTGTGTCGCTCCCCCCTCTCTGCTTCCTGTTTCCTGTCTCTCTCTCAGCTCTCAGGCTAAAAAGCCCAAAAAAACAAAAACACATTCTGCAAAATGTTTGATGTGGTGGTAATGGCAGCGATATTAAAGGACACACATGTTTTGCGTAAAATAAAAGTTACAAATTGTACCTATGTTAAATATTTGAGAGGAAATCAGTGATTCAACTATGTTTATAGCAATGAAAATTAGAAGATTTTGTTAGTTTTTACTGGAAAATTACAGCACCAAACATCAAAACAATGATGAAATTCCAACATAAAACAGTATAAGAAATTAAATAAAACTGTAATTTTCCAAGAAAAAAAATTAAGCATGGAGGTGAAATGAAGAATTTTAAGTAATGATAATATAAATGACAAGAAAAAACTTTTTTTTCCCTTAAAAAAAAAAATCATTCCAGGGACATAAAAGTGCCCAAAATCAAATAATAACCCTATACCTGCTAAATATTAGCATGTTAGCATTTTCTCTGTGAGCATGCTAACATGCTTATATGAGCATTTAGCCCCAAGAACCACAACATCTTCACAGAGCTGCTAGCATGCCTGTAACTACACAAATGGCTTTTTTGAGAGAGAAAAAAACATGGCAAGAGAATTGTAAAAATTCAAATCGTCAAACTACAGTAATTTTTTTTTTTTTTTTTTTAAATGACATATTCATAACAATATAGACTGAAAATTAATGGATTTTGTTAGTTTTCAACTGGAGAATTACAGCACCAAACATCAAAACTCTGAAAATGGTGAAATTTCATTAAACAGTATACAAAATGAAATGAAAATGAAAATATTTCAAGAGAAAAATTAAGCATAGAGGTGAAATAAAGCATTCTAAGTAAGGATAATCTAAATAACAGGTTGCCCGAAATCCAATAATCACCCTATACCTGCTAAACATTAGCATGTTAGCATTTTCACTGTGAGCATTATGGCTGTAAATAAAACAAATTTCTTTCTTTCAAATGAAAAAAAAAATGGTAGGAGAGTAATATAAACTCAACCCGTCAATCAAAAAAAAAAAAAAGAATAAGAAAAAAGACAATGAAGCACAATAAGAGAAAAGACAGAAGGAAATAATGGAAGGGAAGTGAGGAAACATATATGCAGAAAATGTAAGACACCCACCAACCAACTGGAATCACAACTGCTGAAAAAGTTTTTTTTGTTTTTTTTTATTGGCATATTTGTTGGTTTATGTCCCTTATATAATGTACAAATGTTGCACTGATCGTTTAATATAACTCCCCACAGTGAGATGCCTCATCACATAACGTTAGCATTCAAATAATAATAGCGTGACAGAGATGCAAAATGGCAGTGAATGTGTAAGTACACGATTAGAGTAAGAGCATTTTGTGTTATAATTTTGATCCATATCAAAAGAATGTTGCTGAGCAAGTAAGGCTACACATAAGCATTGAGATTCTCTCCTCCATTCACAGTCAGTTTCACATTCGCTTGTATACGTAGATGACTCTGTTGCAGGAAGGACAGCTATGCTCCACATCTTGACAGGAATCGACGCAGAACGGGATACAGCAGCAAAGAAAACACCTGGAGGAGGAAACAAAGTCAACTGTTATTCTCCAGTTTTGTTACTAAAGTAATAATAGCTCATAAAGCTAGATTTTTTGTATGCTTCAAATACATTTTTTTCCATAACATGGAAACCACCAGAAACTACTTGTGCGACAAGTTTCTACCCAAAAGGTTGGTTTTTTTACCCAAAGAGGGCGAGGCCACCACAGATGGCCCAGGTCATCAGGCCTGCTTTGGGATGAGTCCGGGTGATCACTGTCTGCTGGCAGTGGGGACACACAGTTTGTCCTGGGACTTCATGCAGTGCAGGTTGCACTATCATGTGAGTCACTGAGGAGGAGAAAATGGACAACACATCAAGGATTTGTCTCCATATTTACTTTTATCTCTTTATATCACAATAAAAGAATGGGGTTGTACAAATTTGCAAATTTTAACTTCGTTTTTTGGACTGCATCTCAGATGGATTTTGCCTTTTCATTTTATCTTACTCTCATTCCCTCCACATACACTCCAGTCCAGCATACCCATGAATGCTCTAGCATGTTCTGAATGAAGGCCTTGTCATAAAAGAGGGCCCTGCACCTTTGTAAAGGTCCAGTGTGCAAGAATTAGGGGGATTTACTAGCATCAAGCAGTGAGGACTGCAGATTGCAACCAGCTGAAACACCAGCTTCATTGTTCAGGAAGATTTTTTTTTTCTTTTTACCAGGAGCCAAATTATCTGCAGATGTCTCTTCCTCTCTGAAATAAATGGACCAGGTGAGTAAAACACTGCTGCTCATCTTTTTGCTCATCTTTTTTCTGATCCAGACATTCAGATTTATTTTATTTACCAGGAGTCAAATTATCTGCAGAGGTCTGCATGTGTGGAAATAAATAGGTCACAGCGCTCAAAGAAACCAGATGAATTGGTGGTTTAATGTTGTTGCCCAGAACATGCGTCCAGAAAAGTTCTCCCTAGAGACATTAAATGAAACCTTTTTTTTAATTGGAAGACTCTACACTGCTCGTAAAAGAGGGACTGCCAACAAAAAAAACTATGGCGGCCGGTGTGAAGACGCGAATGGCCCTTTTTAAAGCCAGTGTTTGGTTCGTCCATTCTGGTCTATACTGTAAAAACATGGCGGGGTCTGAGGACAAGCAGCTGCTCCCCATGTAGATATAAAGGCCTCATTTAAAGGTGACAAAAACACAACAATTCCTCTATTGGGTGATTATACACTAAAGAAAACATCTTCATTATATTCCATTTCTGCCAGTAAATCCCCCTGAATCCCACACATTGGACCTTTAAGTATATCTTATGATGTTTTTTATTTTTATCACATAATTTAATATGTGTAATTGTCGTTGCCAGCTAGTCAGACATTTCTGCTGTTGCAGTAGACTCACTTTGAGCAGCCATTACCAGGTTTGAGGATTAAATGTACTGACTGCAATGCCTCAAAAAGGCCAGCAGAGGCCGGCATCAGTGCGACAACTGTAATTTGATTTTGAGTCTCTGTTGTGTTTCTGTCTTTATGGAGGCATCAAAACATAAAGGGTTTAATACTGCAGGACGGCTCAGATTGTTCTTATTGTGTAGTGTGAAACTGTCATTGACAGACGGACAGTATAATGTAAAAAAATAAAAATAAAAATATAAGAATTGCAGCACATTCTTCACATGAGAACCCCACAGTTTATACATGCTGTATCTGTGTTTGGTAGCTAATGTATCCGTGATTAAGATCCTTATTCGTCTGTTACACTGAGCAGTACTCCAAATGTGACTAGACACCACAAGAAGAAACCATGAACAAAAGCTTTTTGTGATGGACAGAGGCCACAATACACCCACTGACTTTGTGGGGCTGCGCAGTGGCAGTTCTCACTTCACACGTTGGAACGGAAACTCTTTGACTATCAGTTCACAGATGTGCATTTACAACATCGTGTTCACAATCAGGGTGTAAACGTGTTGTCGTTTGCATGAGTGATGGTGCATATCTGTTGTGCTGTACATGGGGCAGTATTGTGCATTGTCTCACCTGTTGTAGCAGGTGCAGGAGCAAAAGCAACACCTGGCAAAGAAATAGATTTCCATAAAACACCTTCCATAACATAACTGCATTGCATTAAATACATGTAGGCAGAGTAGTGTAGACATTCTACATGAATATGTGCCTCATGGCATGATGTAAGAACAAAACTAAATTTGTTTCCATGTTTCAAAAGTAACAGTATCATCTTTAAACGAAGGCAGACACAGACACACCTTGGTACGCAGCAGTCGGAGGAGCTCCAGGAGAGTAGCCCGGCTGAGGCTGCATCCCTGGCTGAGGCATTGCACCCCCATAGTTCACAGGTGGCCCAGGGTATGGTGGAGCGGAGTCCTGTGGAGGGTATCCTTTTTCCATCTTCAGAGATCCTTACTGCATGTAAGAAATGTGAATCGTCTTTTTAAAGTTGATCAACTGGCGTCCAAGTTAATAAGTAAACATATAAACTTAGTTATAAACTAGGATATTGTGTTGTATTGCTACCACAAAAACTCCAAACAGCATGTGAACACTTGTGCTTCCTTATTACTGACAGCTACGTGGAAAAGCTTGTGAAAAGAAAATGTTTTATCAAAGTTCAGTGTAAGCAAAAGCAAGTTTAGGAACCAACACCTGCACCTCACTAACATTTCCTGTGATTAATAACCACAAAATGTTTTTAAGAGATGATCAGATTAGTCTGACTGATTGAATTTAGATTTATTGATTGCAGCAACAGGAGGAAGTGAAGAAGTATACAGCTTGACTTCAGTGTACTGGCACTTAAAAGAGGAATAGCACTGCCTAACCGCATGTTCCACATCCTCTTTAAACCCACATCACCAGCATCTGCAAATGACAGTGGTTCAGTGTATGTTGATTTTGGCCACTGGCAAATGTAAATGCAATATGCATGCTATTTGGCTCTATAGCTGCTAAATGCTCCACTGTGTTCACCAGTGAGTTGCTAACTGTGTCTATCTGCTTTGTGGTGCTGAGCAGGTAGTTTACAGTGGGTTTTTAGAGTTTTTTTTTTTGACAGAAATGACCCCATAAGAGAGGTGAGGGTGAACTGGCGGGAAGGCTAAACCTGGACCTGAAACTATAAAGCTCCATAAATCCAAGAACAGCTGCAGATAATTCTTTGTAGGTTCATCACTACGAGTGACCCCTTTCACATTCTCATTTGATACATAATTATAAAGATACCTATTTTTAACAGTCATATGTAAAAGTAACAACACCACACTGTAACAACACTTCATTACAGGTAAAGTCCTGCATGAGACTTAAGTAAAAGTGCTCAAGTATTATTGCAGTGTTGTCTACAAGACCACCTAAACCGAGACCAGAGGCCTGTACTATGAAGCAGGATTTGGAGTTAGCCAGGTAACTTCAGGGTTAACTCAAGATTATGTTCAGGGTATCAGATCACAGCCCATCAACACACGACCTCTGACCAATCAGATCACTGAAGAAAAAGTATCCATGGACGAAAGTCTGAAGTCTCAGGTAAAAAAGAGTAGCCTCTAATAGTTCAACACATTCTCACTCAGACCTTGTCACATATTACGTGCCGACATTAAAGGGCGCGTCTATTGTTAGAGGTCAGTAGAAGTAGGTCACTTCATTGTTCCAGGGTTCTATTTCCACTGGTCTTAAAACAGAACTTCTAACAAAACTGGAGAGTTTACAACACTAAACACATGATTTCAGTTGTATTTTAACTTGACTGTTTGGATCATATTTTCAACATTTCTACATTTCCGTAATGAGATCACAGAGCATCGTTTACATCCCATGCCACTGACATTTAACAGTCTTGTAGTCGCAGACAGTTTTGGTACCACTTCGTATTAAATGAAGCAGTCTACTTCATTCATGGATGTGATGACACTTGTAATCAACAACCCCACCTCTTTCACATGAGCATGCTCATAGCTATACTGAACTAGCTGATAAACAGCTTTATAGAACCAGATATCCAGACAGCCGATGTTAGGGTTGGTCAAACCAGATAAAGAAAAGATATCCTGGGTAAGCTGAACTGGCTTCATAGTACAGGCCTCAGGCCATGACCAAGGCCAGAGTGTATCGAGGCTGTAACAAGACCAAGACTCTGAGGTGTTGAGACCGAGTCAAGACCAAGACCAGACCAGTCCGACTCCCACACTGCATTACATACCTATGACAAAATGTGGAAAATGCGAGCTGTAGGCACTCCTCAAATTGATGTAAAATGCATCCACAGAAACAAAGATTCTTCTTCATCCCTCTCTTTTTATTGCCATACTGCATGTAAGGGCACATGCATAAGTGTACCACTAGAAACGTCTTGATAAAATAAACACAAGTGATTGCAGAGGGAAACTTAACATGTGGGTATTTTCCACAGTTTCATTTTCAATAAGCAAACAAACACAGATTGCAGAGCTGAAATCAATGTCACAATCTTGATTCAACATCCTTGTTTTTTTTTCCACAAGCAGTTTCATGATTTCCCTGCAGTTGTGGTCTTAAATCAAATCCTACGTCCTCATTGTCCGAGACCAAAACAAGACAGAGTAAAAGTACAGTTTATTTCAAGAAAAGACCAACGTTGAGTGCAACACTGATTATTGGCAAAATAATCAGTGTACTTAGTGTATAAAATGCTCCCTGTGATTATTAAAATAAATATACTATGATTCGATGTTGCTGAAGCATTAGTAAATAAGCAGCATTTCACTGTTGTGTTTAGTCAGGGTGTGGCTAATTTTGACTCTTTCATTTACTGTTACTAGATATTTCATCTGTAAGAGATGTAGCGACCTTAAAATAACTGTTAATAAAGTTGTGAGATAAATAGTGGAGTAAAACATACACTATTTGCCCAGGAATGAAGAAGTAGAAAGTGGCAAAAATGCAAATACAAATTAAAAGTACCTCAAAATTCTGTTTACTTCAAGTACAGTATTTGAAAAATGTACTTACTTCCGATCACTGGGGAAAACTGAGTGTGACTTTAAAGAGATGTCAAACTGTGGTATTAGTAGAGTAGGTGGGTGTAAGCAGTGGTTGGCAGCAATTTACCATATCAGAAGTTTGCTTAGTGGGGGAGGCATGGGGCAATAGAGCTTGTGGTTAAAAGCACTTTGTTCTGATAATGTCACTCTGTACTTGTCCAGATCCTAAAAGCCTCTTTTAGTGATCTAACCAGCATGCATTAGTGCTGTATTTTGATAATATAGATAAATGTAGAGCCACAATGTTGCCAGGCAGCCCGTCTCTCATACGAACAGGCGCAGTCAGTCCCTGCAAGACTTCCTGTGTCTGAACATAAATCCATCCTAAATCAATTAGAGCAACATGAGCCACACACATTAATTCACCGCAGCATGCCATTATGCCTCGCCCTGTTTTGTTTGGATACTGTGTCTGGATAAAGATTACATCACCAATTTTTTTGACAGGAAAAAAAATCACTTTCTTCATTTTCTTTGCATCTCTTCTACACAGTTATGGAACAATAAAATCAGCTATATAAACGAGATAAACCAACCTTAAAACAAGGCAAACACAAAGCTGATAACTCCAACATGATGGCAACAGCAGCTAACTACAAATATATAAGATAAGACTTACCTACCTGTTACTTTCCGTCAAAAAGAGAGAGTTGCACACCCTCTCTGCTGCAGCTGCCTTTTCCTGAGTGAAGCAAACACAGTATAACCAAGAGTACTGACGGAAGACAAATAGGGGAAGGTATTTCCTGTATTTCCTTCGAGGTAATGGACTGACTGTAGACCCACAACTTCATGATCCCCCCTCCCCTTTTCCCCTCCCTTTTTCTTCCATGGTACTGGGTGTGTCTAACAGTAATCACCAGAAAAGTATAACAGTGTTGATTTCACAATGCTTTTCGAATAATATCCAATATAATAAGGGTCATAAAAATGGGCTCTGCAAAAAGAGAGAGAGAGACGGATGTTGGCTATGAACAAAGGCTGCTTTGTTGACCCAGTGTAATGCATCATTTCACTGATCAGCCACTGTTTCAGGCAGCAACCCTGAAAAAAAGTCACATTTAAGAACACATACATATATAAAGGACATAAGTAATATAAAACCACTGACTCAGACCACTTAAGATCAAGGGATCAACACTGTATCTTTTTAGATGAACAAACTAAAAAGCCCATTTGCATCTCTGCATCATTCACGTCTTGAGAGTACACCCCTCTTGTTTCCTGTGGTCTAACGCAATGTTAGTATGACTCACCTAATGAGAACCATGTGAGAGTGTGTTAGAAAGCAGTTACAAACCAGCCCACTTTCTTTCCATAACAACTTTTTTTTTTCTACAAGCCTGTAAAAGATCATGTGTGCAGTCCAGCTGTCATGCCTTTTTTACAATAGAGTAGGAGATTACTTACATCTTAGTCATATGGGAGCAAATAAAGGACATAATTAATCAAATTTTGAAAGCAACTGAACACTTAAAGGAATACCTCACCCCCAAACTGATCTTCTGTAAATCAGTAAGTCATGTTGTGGTACAATGATTTTGTGAAGATAACTGTTTTTCTTGCATGCCTCCATGGAAAACTGCAAACATTGATTTATTGATTGATTGGGGACCACGTTAAATGGCAAAACTCTGACAATATATCTGTTTACAAACTCTCACACAACTCCTGCGGTATCGTCTCTGTAAGTCTTGGTTATCTAGTCATATGATCAGTACTTCCCAAAAACATTCATGTCACTAGAACCTTACGACTGAAAACTGAATGGGAGGTGAAAATTGTCTATGCTGCACTTAAAGCCAGACACCAGTACAAGTACCATTTTCTGTGGAAGCATGCGAAAAAAACGTTTTCTTCATGAATTCAAATGGTCATTTTATGGGTGAAGTGTTCCTTTAATACTGAAATTTAAATACTACGTTAAACTCACAGCACTGAAATATTTTACTTTGAAAACCATGTATGTGAATTGAACTCTTTGAAATTAGTCTGAAATTTCTTGATTTGCCATTTGCATTTTTTTCCCAATGTTCACAAATTCAGATCCAAAAATTCAAGTTTCAGATTTAAAAAAGAAATGGATTCAGGTTGCCTGAATTTGATCCAGTTTGACATAAAAGAAATTAAATATTAACTAGATGGCACATAAACAGCAAAAACTGGATGACTTACCAGAGCCTCGTTGTTCTCTCTGTTACTCATCTTTAAGTTTCAATTTTCAGACTGCTGTTTTGGATCACATGACACTCTGATAAGCCAAAAGTCAGTTTGACTGCATTCAAGCTCGCCTGCCTGTCCTGCACTGTGTAGCAGAGATATTTTGCTATCTACAATACCTCTTTGGTTTTTTTTACTTGAATTTCTAGATCTGAATTTAACCATTTTTTTTCAAATTCTGAAACCTGAATTATTGAATCTAAGGGTGATTTCACACTTGGTCCGTTTCAGCCCTCTAAACGGACTCAGAGCAGTGACTCAGCATTTTTTGCATATATGTGAAAACTCCAAGAGAACTCAGACCCCTCTGAAGCAAACCGATCCGGTGTGCGGTTCACTTAGCCTATGCCTTATGAACATGAAGTGCTCCAGGTTCACTTTGCTCTTTGCCTTTGAATTTAGCCCTCTACATCTCATGCTGTTGACCTGGGATGCTTGAAAAGGCAGATGAAACCACGTCGGCCTGGACAAGGAGCACTTTGGTCCATGGAAGACAATGCACGTCTCCAGATGTGGAATGTAGAATACATCAGATGGCAACAGTCTACCTCACAGAAACGCTAAGGTTTTCCTCCAATTTTACGTTCATCTGAAGCAAGGGGCTTCATAACCGCACTGCAGTGCCATGTCAGAGTAAAAACAAAACTATGTCAATATATATTATATATAGTGTGAACAGAAAGAGAACTGGGTCTTCTTTCAAATGAACTGACAATGTGAACACAAAAAGAACTGAGTCTCTTTTCTGTTGGTGCACTTTAAGAGGACTGAGTTCAGTTTGTTTAAAAAGGAATAAATATGAAAACACCCTAGGCCTGAATTTTACCAATCAAATTTGGGCAACCTGAAACTCCTTTTGCAAATTCTGAAACCTGAATTTTTTTAATCTAAGCGTGTCTTCACATTTGGTCCTTTTCAGCCCTCTAAATGGACTCAGAGCCGTGACTCATTTTTTGCGTATATGTGAACACTCCAAGAGGACTCAGACCCCTCTGAAGCGAATTGAACTCGAGTAAAACCAAAACTGTGTCAATATATATTATATATAGTGTGAACAGAGAGAGACTCCTGTTTCTGTTGGTCCACTTTTTGGTGCACTTTCAAAGAACTGAGTTCAGTTAATTTGAAAAGGACTATATGTGAAAACATCCTAAATTTGTGAACAGTGAAAAAAAAAAAAAAAAAATCCGATTCAGCTTTTAAAACTGCAAATTGAAAAAACGTATATTTTAATTTTAAACCAATTCATTCAGATACATATTTTTCAAAGTAAAATATTACAAATCTATTAATTTAGTTGTCTTTAAATTTACATATATATATACAGTACAGGCCAAAAGTTTGGACACACCTTCTCATTCAATGTGTTTTCTTTATTTTCATGACTATTTACATTGTAGATTCTCACTGAAGGCATCAGAACTATGAATGAACACATGTGGAGTTATGTACTTAACAAAAAAAGGTGAAATAACTGAAAACATGTTTTATATTCTAGTTTCTTCAAAATAGCCACCCTTTGCTCTGATTACTGCTTTGCACACTCTTGGCATTCTCTCCATGAGCTTCAAGAGGTAGTCACCTGAAATGGTTT